CTGTGTCTTTCCCATGTCTCATCTGCTGACAGTACTCTACTTAACGTTTCCTTTGGAAGGTAGTAAATATAGCATTTTATGGTCCAAAAGTGTACATTTTTCAACTATTTTATACCATTTGGATTAGACAAGACATATGAAGAAGAATTTGGTCTTTACCTGTTGGTATCACACAACCCAAGCCAGTCTTACAAAGAAATTATCTCCTGCATAAACAAGCCACAGACATATAACCTCGTGAGGGTCTTTGCTCAACAGTATGGTTTTGAAAATGCAGCTCACTGTCTTCAGGCATTGTGTTAAATATGTCTTGCTCGAAAGTATCAAATGCATTCAAGTGGACAATTACTAATTGCCATGAGAATGTAAAATTCATGAGAATGTTACATCTTACAGAAAAAAAACTACCACAAAACTCCTACATTTGATACTGATACCTCACCCTGAAGATTTCTTAGTCAGCCACTGATCAATTCTGCTTAGAAAGTTGAAGTGCTGTTTATTTATGCCTTGTTTGTCTGCGTAAAAGAAGGTAACAGTTTGATTTTGACTGAGTACCACCATACGCCTTGTGCTGCAAAGTGGTAATTGAGTTTATAAAGTTTCTCAGAAAAAAATTCCACTGTTTGCAACTTTAAAAATCATGTTGAATGATTTTAAAAATGCAAGTTTGCTTTTCCTCAAGTTTAGTTACAGAAACCATTTAATTGCTTAGACCTCCAGAAAATCAGTCTTTCCTAATAATGTATAAAGATTCTGCTCAGTACTATGCACTATATATATGTGTGTATATCAACTTACATAAAGTGTTCATGCAAAACCTTATCTTCACAATATGACATGAAATATGGTCACTAGCACACATGCCAGTAGGCTGTGCAGTGGAGGCAATGCATTGATAGCTGCCCTAGCTTTCCCTGTAAATCTGAGGGCATTCACTATATTCATCTACATCTGCACAACCTATGCAGGCTGTGCCACACAGAGCACAAAATACTTCATCTACAAAATGTATTTTACAGAGATTTCCATGGGGAAGGAAGAATCTAAATACCTTAGGAGCTCTGCAATCAAATATATGGCAATTCTGAGATTTTTCGAATGGTCCTGTATTTGCTTCCTTTTGAAAACGTAGCTGGTTAATGCCTGTGCCCGTCTTTCAGACAAACAGCTATTCTGTTGAGCATTGCTGATCAGCCTGCTGTGATCCAAAAGCAGAGCTCCCACTTTGCCAGGCTCTGCCATGCCGCAGCCGGCAATGGACTCTCCTGGCTGTGATATCTTCTGTTTCCTGATCAATGCCATTCCACTAAGCAAAAAGAAATACAGTGTTCATGGGAAGGGAGTAAGCAAGGAGCTATGTCTCTGTTTCTCAATGATGCTAGCCTGCAAGAAGGAATGCAGACACCAGGATTTTGGTCTCCACTATCCTTTTCAGTATGCTACACATAACCCAGGACCTAACAGGGAGAAGGAAATCTCTTTTCAGATAGCAGGTTCCATATTTAGAAATTAGCATCGAGTCCTGTTTCTGTGCCAAGCAGCTCCTGGCTAGCTGGAGAACCTATCTTGCTACTCCCACCTGTCGATCTTGTGTGATGAAACTAGGTACAGATTTCTTTAAATGGTCTCTTTAAATGAAAAAACAATCTGCTTGGTCTCCTAGAAAGATTTTGACAGCTTGGGCGTCATTTTCCGTGTAGGATTTGTCCAAGACGCATAATCTACTGTCTGCAAAGTAGTGAAAGCTTTGGGGCCTTAAAATGACCATTAAGTAGTATCTATAAAGCTCAATATTTGTCTCAGCTAAATATCTGTACATGCTGCTGCTCTTATCATTTAGCATCACTGTTAAGCACTGTCTCAGAAATTTTACTGTTGCATCACCTCAACTCAGCTGCAATTGCAGATTGAACAAGAAGGAAAGCAAAGCTTTCTCTACATGTTTTGCAGCTCATATGCTATAAACATTACAAGGACAAAATAAATGGAGGGGGGAGTGGGGAGAGAGCATGAGGGTGTGAGCAATAAGTATAGCTGTAAGCCTGTTTTCTTTGTGCATTTTAATAGAGATCTCCTGCTACACTGAAGCCTATATGTGGCTCAGTAATAGCCTCCTCTGTGCTGCCCTAGCCACGACTCATCATTTGCTGCATGTCTAGTACTAAAGGCTGGACTCTGCCTCCTTACACAGTGTCTTAACCTTGCCTTGCCCTTCTACCCCACAACAGCTGCTTTGTTTCCTTTCACTAACAGTCAGAAATCACAAATTCCTTCCCTCTAAAGCCATTATAACAGAACCGGCACCACCCCAAGTGGTTTCAGAACTAACTGATTTAGATGCTGGAATCTGCTGCAAGGCCAAAAATAACTCCCCATTTCTTTCTCCTTCATTGGTGAAAGTAAGAGAGAAAGTGGCCAATGACAGAGACACAAATCCCCTGTAGGCATCGGAGACAAATCTATTTTGTGTCAGAAAAAAAAAATAATGCTCTTGAAAAATGTTTCTTTGCTCAGGCCAATAGATACAGACCTGCTGCATGCAATTTTGCTGAACCGATGGTATCACTTGAATGGCTCACAGACTACATAAAATGCATTACATAATTATATTTTTAAACACTGTCCCCAGCTGTGCTGATGCACATAAAAGCTGTGTTTACAATGGACTCTGCACATGTAATTATTTTGTGGCACTAACTCTGTGCATTTCCTTGATGGATGCTCCACGGTGCATAAAATTGTAGCTTTTATCATAGATTCTTGAATATATTCTTTGGATGTTTCAGCTTTAAATACTTTGTTGTCCTCGCATGGGTGAACAGGACTGATGCCTGGAAGGGCTAAATTATTACATCTGAGGGAACACCTTTAAGTCCTCCGGGAGCAGCAGAGGGGGAAACATGATGAGTGTTGGATTTGAGGCACCTGGGTCACTGGAAGCACTGAGCAGCAGAGCCGGCTGCTCCTTCATGAGAGGTTTCCTGTGTTGATCTTCTGGATAGAGCAAGGGCCCTGCCTCTATTTGGCCTGCACAGGTTCATCCCAAGCTGATTAATGCTGCATCAACCCAGATGCTTTGTAGGACAGGGAGGCTAAACAATGCCTGGTGCCCGTGTGAGTGTGGGAGCAAAGGGGCTGGAGGCTGCCCATGCAGAGTCAAACAGAACATGGCCCGGACTGTTGGGATCAAAGAACAGCTTTGATTTATCTTCTATTCTGTTTGTATACAGTGAGCGAGCTCCCAGCATTTCACTGTGAGCTCTCCCTTCTCTGTTCTCCATCCAGTTGTGGAATACCAAGCATTTCTTCATGCTAGAGCAGTAGTTGATGCATAGGACCCAGCAAAGAAGACAGTGTATATTTATTTTAGATCTGTTCCAGTATTCTTGAGTATTAATATAACTGTGAAAGCCTAGATGCTGAAAGGATTGGTACATAACACAGTCCAAGAGTTTTGCCTGCCAAACACTAACACTTGGAAATAAATAAAGACAAAAAGTAATACAATATCCTGAACAACAGCTTCAAAATGATGGAAGAACAGCATCACGGGTAGCTACCTTTAGTTTTTTTTACTGTTGCTGCAAAGAACTGGCAGACTTTTATTGTCGATAAGCAAAATGGTTTGGCATTTTACCTCTCATGTCTGGCTAACCTTAGGTATAAGACTGCACAAAGGAAATGCAGGTTTTATTGTAAATCAGTTTTTAATGGCAGATGTTTGTTGGAAATCAGGTCTGCTTTCTGGTAATAGATAGCTTGAATTCCTTTGTTATCATTCCTTGCCCTTTTCAGTCCTCTGTTTGGTCATGGAAGCTGGAAGCCTATGCTTTCCCAAGGACAGTTGCACCATTTAAAGTAGTAATTGGTCTAATGCCAGTAGTGATCAAATTGTTCCAAAGCAAATGGCTTGACTGTTGGTAAACCAAGTTTTCCACTCTCACATGAATACAGTCTTCTCCCATCATAGAAACTCTTCAGCTATGGATGTCCTTAGCATTCCCTCTCTTTGGCATGTGAAGTTTACATACCAGCTTCTAGGCTGTTGATGCATTTTGCACCAAAATGTCAGGTAATGGAAGAACAATCTCTGGAGTGGAAAAAATGTGGAACTGCATAAGTTTATTGTATGTTCGTTTGCATAGTCTACCTTTCAGATAAACCTTATCCCTGCAAGTGTACTGGTTCTCGAAAAAGAGTCCTTGAATAACCTGCACAAAAGCTGAACCACCAGAGGTGCTACTTCAGAAAAGCAAGCAGAGGAAGGTACCAGAAGCAGTGCAGAGGAAACGCTTCTGGAGTAAGCACCCCCTAGTATTGTTCAATATGTCTCTATCCTGTTTTTGCAACACAAGGTGTTGTTATTTTATTAGAGATAACATGGCTTGTACATATGAAAAGAGGGTACATTTCTCACTGGTAAGACATACTTACTCACATTACTGAAGTATGTATTATTTTCTAAAAGGGCTTATTTCCTTCTAGTCCCTTACTCTAGAGAGCCCTGCTGAAAGTCTGTCAGCCATCTAGACCAAAATATGTTTTTCAAATATGTGATCATCTTATACAAATCAACATAATTCCACGTGCTTTCATAGAGCTATGAGTTAAACCAGTGGAGGATCTAACTCCTTGGTATTTTATGTAACACAGATAAACACCAAAATTTGTGATCAGAGAGGAAATGTTTCTAGGTGTAACATACTTGCATCATTACTCTTCCACATTAGTTACAATCCTTTGCTGCAGCCACTTGTGCAAGACTTTTGTGCTTATCTTTACAGTACATGGAGATAAGAGTTGCTTATATTTTGCAAAACGTTTGTGTTATGTACAGATGAGAGCAAGAATCCACACTGAAATTAGTACAAGTTTTGCAGTTCAACAGGACCAAAACAATCCTCTTAATACTACTGCTTGAACCCTGATCTTTGCCTTTTTGCATCTAAGTCACTAGAAACTTCTCTTTCCAAAAGCAAAACAATGCTTTGAGAAGTCACAGATCAGTGTAAATTATGTCATCACCATTAGGTGTTGAGATAACATCTTTGTTGCATTAAGTCCCTCTTGGAAATGTCCAATAAAGCCAGAAAGAAAATGAGACTTATTTTACAGATTTTTTGAGCACTATAATTCCATTCTTGCTATAATATTATCTGTGAGAAGCTTTTTCTCTTTTAATTCCATAAAGCTCTATCACTATATTATCTAAGCAGCTAAGTACTGAGATTATGTAAGTTGAACATAATAGGATGTCTGTAAAACTTTGCTCCTTCCAGCTTTGGAAATTTCTACATTGCTCTTCTACAGTGACTCAGCTGAAGATCTCCCATATGATCTAGGAGAATGTGTGGTAGGGTGGGATTTCCACCCTTTGGAGGAATGTAGAATGATCCTCAGGTATGACCTCAGCTTCAGCCTTGCTCTCTTCTCGCGTCCCCTGGGCTTTGCTGGGCAATCTTTAACCACTGAGCAGCAGATGCTTGCTGTAGTTCCTGCCAGGCATTTCACTTCTGTCTTTCTAGGAATGTTTACCTAATGTTTTCCTAGGAAAAAAAAAATCCACCTTTTGATTTTGCACAGCAGGAGAATTTGCCTGTTGTACCAGATAACAACCTCAATATATACTTTCACAGTCTGTTTCTTCTAGAGGATATTTTTGGCCCATAAGTGGTGTTTTAAGAATAATTCTACCAGTACTATTTTTATAATATGTATCACTTCATGGTGCATTACTAACCATATGGCCAAGCACACTACATGCAGCTACATTGCAAGGTTTACTGCCCAGTAGGCATGAGAAGCATTTATTTTGAATGATATGTATTGAGGAAAAAAATTCCGCTTCAAAGGTACAGGCTTAGGACCCTCATTTCTCTTCTTGGTTCTTCCTTGGTTTTAAATGAGGTTCAGCTTTTCTTCCTTGGAATCTCACTGCAATAATGTGGGCTCAGAGCAGCTGTTTGTACTTTGCCTTGCTGATAACTGGCAGGAGATAAAATATGGAGGAGTAAATTCTGCCTGACTGCTACAGGTTGCATCACACAATCACTGACTGGTAGGTCTCTGAGAATTGTTACTGATAGCTAGATTTTATCTTGGTAGGGGTAAGAGCTCATGAAACAGGATGACTCAATGAATGACTAATGAACACTTTATGATGAAACTTCCGTCTAAGCCATGTCAACTGTGACCAAAAATTATCACCAGGGAGTTATTTGACAGTCTAGGGTGAGTGAGCAGATGCCCTGAGTCCACCTTGTTGTAGAGATGTGTCTTGAATGTAAAATCCACTAACTCAGTTTGTATCAATTAATGTCAGTGGGGAAAACCACAAATGGTGATGTGGCATGCTGGTGAACTATGCTGTTACCTCTCAAGTGGCTTCTCCCATTTAGAGCTGGCCATTTAATGAGGTAGATGATACTGCCATTACTTTGCGTTTTTCTCTTTTGTAAATAAATCATTCCAGTCAGATGTATACACACAGCTTTGTTTTGTGTGTTCATACAGAAATGCAGACTCCCAGGAACAGTTCCAGCTACTCAGCTGGGATTACATTATCAACACAGGCATCATCATATTTAGGTGGGCCTCCTATGCAAATGTCATGGGGAGTTCCCCTGTGCGACTCTAATTTATGACTCTACCAAAATATCCTTCTTCATCTCCCTGATCCTAGGCCCTTTACATATGGTTTACAGGTACCTTTGCTTTTCTTGGGACACCAGTAGCTCCTGTACAATCCCAAATCATTAGTTACACACCTAAGTCAGTGTGGAGGTATCAACTACTGTATTGACTTAGCAGTGCTCAGTAAAATTACCTCCTGCCTTCTTATGCCAACGGTCGTGTCTTGCTTTCTGTACGGCAACATCCTGCCAAAATGCATTATTTCCCATGGAGGAGAACAAACTCCCCCTTTTGGGCAGGGTACAAATGAGGCCAGACATGCTCACGGTGCGGGGGCTAGAAAGGGGATATGTGCAAGTTTTGCCCTGGGCAGTCAAGAGACGAGATGGGGATCATGGGAAGTCAGAGGCTTAGCCTTGGCTCTGATGATGATTTTTTTGTGTGGCCTTTTGTAAGCTCTTTCATGTTTCCACCTCATTTTTCTCAATCCTAAAATGGAGTTCAAAATCATCACTTCTCTAACACCTCCCCCTCCACACACACACATAGAGTTGTGAGAAGGTTTAATGTTTATCTCAGAGGCTTTGAACAGTATTATACATCCAGGGAATGTATACCGGCATTTAGACCCCAGAATGAGCTTTAGAAAAACATCAGTAAAGAAAACAGCATTTATATTTTAATCATATTAATCATAAATTTAGTATTGGAACAGAATATGTGATTAACAAACCTGCAAAACAAGCTTTGTTTCATTGGCTTGAGCTGCTTTCTAGTTCTGTTTGTGTACGTCAAAGTGATGTTCAGTCTTTTTAAATGAGTCACAGGACTGGAAGAACAAAAATATTTGATGGTAACATATAGCAGCAAAACAATTACTCTTTTCATTCTGACAGGCATGATAACCAGAATAGCAAGTTAGAGCTAGAGGTCTAGGCTGGTAGTTTCTTTCCACATATCAGGGATTTTAGATCTGCTTGCAAGACAGTGAAATAGAACTGAAATGTCATAAAAATTAAAAGATAACACCAGATCAAACAATAAAAGCAAGCATGCCCGTTAGGATACAACTATTTACACTTATAAAGGCACTACTGATCAGTGAGTCCATGCAGTATTCTCACACAGCACAGCCTTGTCTAGCAGCTTTCTGTACCTTTATCCAGAGGAGACTCCTTTCCACCCTGCTTGCTGCATTGCACCACTGATTTAGTGAAGACATCATCCTCATAAGGATGCTCTTCTAACTCACCTCTGAAATCCGCTTGCTTTTCTCCTCTGACAATTAGGTTTAAATGTGCTGCAGCAAAGTACTCATCCTTAGCAGTCGTATGGCTTTTTAAGTGATAAACTGCATTAGCAAATTCCTTATTAGATAATCTATCAAATGAGGTCATACATAATTTTAGCAGTCTCATCTTGATTTATAGCATGATCACAGCAAATTATGCACACACAAACCAGCATGCTGGCTGTCAAAGTCAGGTATTTTTACTCTGCTAAAAACTATTGCCAGGCCAGCCCAGTGGCCTACTGGTAGAACTCTGCATCACCACGGCTTGCCCAGTTTGCAGGATAGCCCTCAAGCTCACCCCTCACCTTTTATTAGGACTGATGAGAGTTCAAGGCAGTAGGTTAAGTCCCTTGCTTCATACATTCTAACAATAATTCTTAATGGTGTTTATTCTGACAGATTTTCCATACTCCTCTTAAGTAAGGGCATGGGCTCTCTAGAAGGGTAAGCTTAGGTGTGGGGAAACTGGGTCTGCAGGGTGCTGATCTTCTCCCTGCCTCCCTTCTGTGTTCCCAAGGGAATGAAAAGCTAGTTGGAGTGAATCATCAGGCAGCATTGCGCACGACTGTAACAGAGTCTGCTTCCCAGTCCAGGCTGCTTGGGCTGGTAGAGACTTGGTCGCCTGCACCCACTGGCACTGGAGGAGGCAGTGCTCCATCTCCTACAGCCATCTGCACTGGGGAGCCATGCCACCTGCCTTGCTACAAGCACAAGTGATGAGATGCAGGGAAAAACGGGAAGGATCTTCAGGACAAAATGCTGTTTCTGAACTGCCCTTCGCTATCACTGCTGCTCTGTTGTTCGCTGCAGCCCCCATGCTGGAAGTAAATTGCTCCCGGGATCCAAAAGGGACACAATTCCTATCCCCTAGCTTCAAACTTCTGCAAGTAACATTTCATTCATGGAGATTTATCTGTAACTACCATAGGGGGGAGCTGCAATAAATTATCTGATCTTGCCTTTCTCTTCACCTGCTCTCAACTCACATTGCTATTTCTAGGGTTTAAGCTGTGCAAAGTGGCAAGAGTACATGTCATCTCCATTTCCCGCTGGACTTACGGCCAAACTCTGTCTGCGAAGGACCAAGTGGGATGGAACAAGATGTGTTCTTTGGCATTCCAGGTATCTTGCCCCTAAAATGTAAAATAAAAACTAAATGAAAATCTGAACACAAATTTCCCCTGGAAATATTAGATCATAGAGCCATAACTATCACTATATGAAAACTTCTTGAAATGCTTAATACAAAGGTCTCCATGTTGTATTCACAATAATATTCCTGGGATGAGAGACTGGAAGAAACCAAAGTCATTCATCAAAATGAGCTAGCAAAGGGCATGCTTTCAGCGGATGGCACTGCTGTTTTGCACACACTATGGTAATTTGGCCTAATCCTACTGAATGAGCTTTTCATGCATATGTGTGTATGCATACCTGTCATGAGTGAAATCTATTGCATCCTCAGTTGACAAGCTGTGTGTGGCAGATTGCAGCAGGGTTTGGGGAAAGAAATTCATGACCCAGGCTAAGAGTAGAGCATAGGAGTTCCCTCTGGATCTCACCAGCCAGAACAGCAGTTGCACCCCCTCCCCACACTGGTACCAACACCAGTCTGGGGTCCCTCTTCTCTCCACTCCTTTTACCCCATGCCAGAGTGGCTGAAGATGCAGCAGAGAGGATGATGAGAAGGGGTTTGTTTCTTTGGGGCGCAGGTATACAGTGACCACGGGGCAAGTGATGGAGAACCTGGGTTGTGCCAGCCCTGCGGTAAGGCTATGCCACAGGATGGAGAGGGGTGAATGGGCAGGAGTGGAAAGCTGCCTGCAGAAGGTGTGAAATGCCCCTATGCAGCTAAGGATGAGTGCTGAGGGAGGGTGAGGGGCTCTGTAGACAGCCCTGCAGCCCCCGCAGCACTACCATGCAAACCTTCTCACCTGGGTCTGTGCTGCAGGGGCATGTCCCACTGAGCAGCACTGACCAAAACTGCAGCTAGAAGCAGGGCAGAAAGTCTCTGATGCAGTGGGCACTGGGCTCCCCGAGTGCCCTAGCTCCTGGATAGGGACCCTCAGGTGGGCAGGGAAGGGGGTACAGCCCCATCTCCCCACTTTACCTCTGGTAGGAGTCCCCTGGGGGAGCAGCTGTGACACCCCCCGGCTCCGTGGGGTGATGGGGCCCCCTCAGCAGCCACGGGTTGGCCGCTCCTTCTGTAGACCTGCCTCTGCAGAGGTGTTTGCAGCCATTGGCACGGGCGCTGCAGCGCTGGTTGCCTGGCAGCAGGAAGGCGTCCTCTTCCCCATGACAAACATCATCTCCATCGACCCAGACCACCTCCCGTTTCAAATGTCTGTCCATGCCGGAGAGCCCAGCAAGGGGAAACGTAGCTCACCGAACAGAGTAGAGCAAGCCCCATTTCATGACTGGAGAGACGCAGGGACCCTTGCACTGATCAGCTGCCCCACAGGTGAATTCATCCAGCACCATAAGTAAAATTCTGTGTGCTCGGCCATTCAGCACAGATTAGCACTAAGAGGACAAGCCCCCTTAAAGAAGTACATGCTAATTAGGTGCATGAATACTTAGCTTTCTACAGAGCTGTCAGAGGAAAAGTAACTGTGAAGCTAAGCCCCACATCTGCCTTTTTGTGTCTGGGTTTTTGGGTCCTGCTGAAAACACATTAATGTTCTTGATGTGCCGAAAGAAGGCAAAGCGTGGCATCTGATCAGGAGCACGGCGTTGCTACAGGTCTCTGTGGCTTATAAAGCATATGTAGTGTGTTTCTCTGCTCCCAGCTTGGCACTCACCCCCGAGCGTGCCACTGCATCCAGCCTCTGTGCTGTAGTAACTCTAGTGCTGAACATCATCACAATCACAGGATTATGAATTTGAGAGACATAAACCCCACCAACTTCAGAGATATCCATCTTCTTTAAAAGAAAGCAAGCCATTATGAGTCAGGCACATTATCTACCAGCAGCCCACTGAAGAGAGCTGTCTTCTGAAGGGAGGTGGAGGACAGGAGGATGCCTGATGAGTGCAGCAAGGGCGAGGGCTCAGGGAATGGAAGGGGAGAACACAGGAGCTGTGGTCGCCATGACATGGTGCCAGTGCTGTGCAGGGAGCACCCAGGAGAAGAAGCTAGTGAACTCTTTGCCCAGGGGACTGTGGTGTACAGCAGAGATGTGGATTTGGGCTGCTCAGGCTCTGAGAGAAGCTGGGTTTGATGGAAGTGCGAAGGTGCCCAGCAGTGCTGAGCTCCACACCACCACGGCTGATCGCTGCCTTTCAAGGTGGGGTGGGTACCTCTATGCTGGGGTGCAGTTATTTGTAGAGACAGAGTATAATGAGACCTTCTCTTTCTGCCTGCAGGAAGGCTGAAATTAGTGTGGCCTATCAGTCATTTTCTCAGTCTACTCTGAACAGAAGATTTGTCTCAAGGAGGCTCAAGCTACATGAAAGCACTCACATCAGGTGCAGAGGCAGCTCCCTCCTGACTGTGACTGGTTAATATGATGTGGGAATAAGCATCATGCCATCGAGGAGCTGTAACTTCATCCTCTACAACATCAGCATCAGCCTGTCCCCACCTAGTGCTGTGGCTCAAGGGAGCCAAAGACAGGGCAAAAGGAGAGGGGCAGGGAGTGGCTGCAGGGAGGTACCTGGCAGGGGAGTGCAGCAGCTTGTCTGTTTTCATGAGAAGAAGGAAATCTCTGGTGGGTGCTGCACAAGAGGAGCTGTGGCGCAGGGGTGTAGCTGTTGAGGTTGGGAGGAGGGTAGGGAGGAAGGGCTGCTATTTAATTGCCAGCCCTGGTTCTATCAGCAAATAGGAGGACAAGCTGTCACTGGTGTGCAAGGTAGCAGATGGCCTAATTGTGAGATTTCTCCCTTGCAAGAGCAAAATGCTATACTGTTTTTAACATCTTTGCCTAAAGCTGAGCACTAGCTTCAGATACTAGCAAGATACACTGTACAGAGGCACTTTGTGCCAGAAATGTGCTCTAGTGATAATCAGGAGAAAACGGTGCTTGAAGTGACATTTAAAAAATAATTATTATGGCCTATTGCTGTTAGTCATACATCCCAAAAGCTGATCTGGCTAACAGAGCTTTTCAAAGCATCTTCTGCTCGACAGATCATCTGGAAATTATACCATCATTGTGTCACCGTGTCTCGCCTTATAACCCCCAGGACACTATCTATGCACACCATTTCTTCCCTCTTCTGGGGGGAAAATAATTCTCTCCGGCTTCTGATTTTTCTCGTGCTGTTTCAGCTGGTTTTGTGCAGATTCTTGTCTCAGCCATTTGCTGGAGAGCACAGGGCTTCCTTTCCCAGAGGCAGCTATGAAGCATTGCCACCTCATCTCTCCTTGGGTACCTCATAGAAGCTCAGTGCTCTGCAAAGCTCCAGGCCTGCAGACAGAGATAGCAGAGCTTGCCAGTGTCACACTAATATCAGGTGCTTGAAACTTTATATTGAAGGTGCAGGGTCGTTAGTGGTGAGTCGTTATGGCAGGTGCATTTTGTCAGCTCCAGCTCTGATCTGACAACAGGGGAGAAGGCAGTGGGTAGCACCTCTCTCAGCTGGGTCAGGTTTGCAGAGAAAACTCTGGTAAGGACTTATGTGGAGAGAAAACTTTGACTAACCTGTACATATGCTTAATATTACTTATCGGTGAGGGCAAAACTGATGGCAAGCATCAGCTTGGAATGGAATCAAGTGAATGCTCTGTTTGAGGATAACAGCCCTTGTTGCTTTTTTTGCAGGCCACTGATCATATTTTCAAGGACTTTTGCCTGCTGAGTACATTATGTGTTGCCTCTTCCTGCCAGGCCTTTAAACTTCATGATGTCTGTTGAGGTTTTCTGTTAATGAAAGTGTTTTAATGGGTTATCTGTAAGCTTCGTCTCCTAAGTATTGGGATGTATTAAATGTTCTTTAAATCTACCTTTCCCTCACTGTCCCTCTTCAAAAGACTTATCTATGCAGTAGATGTCTGTGCTACAGCAGTCTGTCCTCCTTCCCCTTCTCTCCTCTGACTTTCGTTTGCTCTCCTGCTAAAAAATGCACAGCTGTGACACACCAGCCTATGTTTCAAATCCCACTGATTTCATGTCTCTCTCAGCCTCTATGTAAATCTCCCTATCTTTCCCTTCAAGGCCCTCTGTAATGTTACTTTGCCTTTAATTTCGTTCCTCCCACTCCTCCTTCTGCCTGTATTCTCCCAGTCATCCCTGCTTCCTGCTCATTTTATCTTGTTCTTGGATGGTTCAATCTTGCTTTTTTTCTTCATACTCCTCAGACACCTCAATCCATCTCCTATTTGCTGTTAGACAAACATTTTTC